TCTGTGAGCTAATATCTTTAAGGGCATAGAAAATTTTCAACTCAATAGGGGAGTCCGACAAAGAGAGATTGGAGATCATATCTCTTTGGTCCTCAAAATAATCAGAAATAATACCAGTGATGGGTGGAGTATCAGCATAAAGAGAAGAAAAATAATCAACTGCATTAGAGCCAATCTGATCAGCATCAGTAAGAATGGATCTCTCGTCGGTAACAATCTTGATGATGGTGTTTATGTTACGGCGATGTTTGATAGTGGCATGAAAATATTTGGCATTTCTGTCGTCATTCTTGAAATGATTAGCACAAGCTTTCTGTCTGAGGAAATCTTCCTCAATAGAGATTTCCTCTAAAAGAGTGTGGTGAGCAACCGCTAGTTTAGACACGAGATCGGGAGTAGCAATCACCTGAGCTTCTAAATCATCCACCTCTTGTTGGGCCTTTAGAACCCTAGAGTGAACATTACCAAAAGTGTCAATGTTACATCTTTTTAAATGAAAAGCCACATTCTTATGCAGTTGCCACAACGTAAGCCAAGGATTCTCACTTTCGTTAGAGACCCAAACCTGTTTAATCAAGTCAATGAAAGTGGTGTGAGTAGCCCAAATATTAAGAAATTTAAAATGATAGCGAGAAGGCATGAAATGAAAAGCTAAAGTAAGCAGAATAGGATTGTGATCCGAAGCAGCATGATTCAAATGTTTGACTTGAATAATATTATAGTAGCTCAAAAACTAAGAATTTCCCAAGAATATGTCCAAATGTTGCATAAGAAAGCCTCTCCTCCAAGTGTAAGGAGAGCCAGAGAAACCTAAATCATAAAGGCTAGCTTCCTCAATATGCTCACAGAAACCATTAATAAGACTTGTGTCAACCTTAGCACCACCCCATCTCTCGATTTGAAGGTCAGTGAAGACAGAGGGTTCAGCAAAGTCATTAACTGTAACATCCACGGGAAAAGACCCATGAGCCACCTCAGCATCCCCCATACCAGGAGGAGGCATCCTGTTAATTTCTAAATAGGGAACAAATAAATCATTTGAACCTCCTACCGCCGGAACATCCTCTGCAAGAGGGTCAACGAAACCATCACAGCATCAACAGTCTGCATAGATGGTTGGGAGAATGTAGGAAGAGCAGATTTCTGCTCTCCAGGGGGCGGTCGATTGGTAATCATGATGTAAATGGAAACAATGCTCAGAGTCATGACCAAACATGCTACAGTGCTTACAGTAATAAGGATGTTTTTCAAGCAAAACCGACTGCCAGTACCCATATTAGTAGAGCCTATCCAAATATCCTCCGACGGAGGTAAGGTGATATCTCTCTCAATTAATATTCTAGCACCGAGGGCCTTGTGAGATTGAAGGTATGAGCATCAAACATTAGAGACTTCCCGTACATGGCAACAATTGAGAATAAAATTTCATGTTTGAACAAATGCACTTTCAGACCAGGGAGTTTAAGCCAGACAGGAATAACAGGGAGCTCGATTTTGGGGTCAAAGTCAGTTGTCCATTTAAGGACATTCATCCAAACATCACCAAAATGGACAGTTCTTCGGGCGAAAAGCTTTGCGTAATCATCTTCACATCTTCATTAGAAAATTGTATCAAAATATGTCGGCTATCCAAGGCCCCGATCTTCCACCCTCCCGATAATTTCAACAACTCAAAATTCTTCAACACAAAATCATACTTCGGCAGACCATAGAGGAATTTACAAACCAAATGAAAACGACAAGCAGAGGCGAGAATAGAGTTCTCAGAATCGGAGAGAAAAAACGTGTTTTTACCCCCCTTCCGACCTTGAGATTTGATGAAACTATAATCACCACCAATAATAAGCGAATCATGAAAAGAAGAAGGGAAGACACTTTGGAGGAGACCCAGAAGAAGAAATCCCCGCAGCTTAAGTCTTATCCATGACCGTAAAGAGAAGAAGAGGACGAGAGATGAAAACCGAGAGCGAGGGGAAAGCCTAAAACGAAAAACCAGAAAGATCTCACCAGGGGTTGCCGTCGTTTAGCCGCTAACATCTTCGCGTCGCCACGAAATCGCCCGCGGTGCCAAACCCTAGCAGAGCGGCCATGATCATCCCGGTAACTATATATATATATATATATGTTATTAAGCATACGATATATGTTGTCGGCAGGCAGCTCTGTTAGGGTTTCGCCGGATGGCGATTCCCTGCGTTGATTCCTTTGGTTCACTACACCGGCTTCGTCATGCCAGACGACGAAACGCGCCATCGGTTTCGTCGTGCCCGACGACGAAGGGCTTCTCTCCAACGACTTCTTGTAGTTTTTTGCCGAGCCTTCTCGCACGTTCTCTCATCTTCCTGTCGCGCCTTCGGTTTTGTCGTGCCCGATGACGAAGGGCAACTGTCGAGCATTTCACGCACATTGTCTCCTCTTCCTAACGCACTCCCCTGTACGAGGACAACTTGTGTGCACTCCTAGCATGTTGAGATGGCCTCGGGGCTCCGTTCCTATGTTGTCGCCTTTGTCGGCGATAACCCCGCTCACGCCCCTTTTTCGTATATGTTTCAGCAACGATACCACGATACTCTAGCGCTGGGCGTTGACACAGAATTTCTCAAAAAAACATCACGTAAAAATGGTAAGCCTGCAATTTTTCTCTCTGAGACCGAGATCTCCACCTTAGCTTCATCCTACCGACTGGTTTTAGTTGATAAGTTCCTGTATGGAAACCCCCAAACTCGAGCTAATTCGAAAAGATTTTGAGTAAATGTAGCTGAAAAAGGAATGGAAGATTGGTAAACTGGACGGTATGCATATTCTCAAACAGTTATCAGACGATGAAGACTATGTCCATTTGTTTGCGAGAAGACTGGTTCGAATAGATAAGCGTGTGATGAAAGTTTTAAAATGGACGGTCAATTTTGACCCTCACTGAACCTCCTACCATTCATGTATGGTTGTGCTTCCTGGGTCTAAAATTTCATATTTTCAATAAAGAACTCTATAAAGACCGCTCCTTCTTAGCTATGGTTTACGGTAAACCTCTCAAAACTGATATTCCTACGGTTAATCTGAATCGGCCTTCTGAAGCCAGAGTTTTGATTGAACGAGACATTACGGGGGAGATCTGGATTAGCTCACAGCACCAGGGTTTTTGGCAACGGGCGAAACTCGAACAGATCCCACTTTACTGCACCCATTGTCGTGTCTTTGACACTCACATCATTTGCACCCTCATTTAAAACCTCAGAGTAAAAATGTTACTGGGCCCTGCACCCCAACTCACACCTCTCCCTCCTCCTCCCCCCCTGAGTGCACTCCACTAGCTATTGAAACATTGGTTGAAACGTCATCAGCTCTCCCTCCCACTACCGGAGACCCCCTCTGACAATACTGTTTCTATTTTGCGATTGATGTGTTGTCGGATGTTTCAGCTGGGTAACCTACAGCTTCAAACCTTTTTGAAAACAATTCTGAAGGACCTTTACCTACAAAGGACAATATTTGGTTCAATAATCAGGAGAGCCTTGAAGATCCTCAACTTCAGGAAGCATCAGGTGTAGAGGATACAATTCACATTTCACATACACTAGAATCTATCATTGTTGCAACGGTTGACAATCGTTCTACTGCGGTTCTTCCACCTCAACAGAACGAGCAAGTTGTTACTATTAGTTAGGCGCAAGGGGCTCATCAGCTTATACTTGTCTTACAATCTGTTGACCAACACACTGATCAGTTGAGCCAGACTTCAATGAGGAACGACAGGTTTACACATCCAAAAGGAAGAAAAAAAATGGAGGCCCACTCGAGCTCAGGAACTTAATGGATGATACATTGGTTAATTTGGGTAATGGCACAAAACTCAACAATTTGTTAGTTGGCTCCCTTCCTAGAACTAGAGGCAGAAGCATGACTAAATTGGGTTGCCCCTAGCTACTTGTTTCTGAGATTTAGCAGTTTTGGTTTTTTGGGTTTATATGTATCATTTTTGTTTTGGGACATTTGTGTGTGTTGTACCGTGTGGGTAGGGTGCCTTTTTTGGGTTGTCTCATACAACCTATCTATACCTCTTATATTTTAATATATTATATACATACATACATACATACATACATATATATAGTTACAACACGATTAGACAAAAACTCATGTTAAGATTGTTAATATTTTTCTGCATCTAATATATACTCAAAAGAGTATTCATGCATTATAATTTCAATGACAGTATATTGGACTATACATTCTTTTATCATTGCTTGTCTGACATGCTTGAGAGAAAAATATAATGTTTTCTCTACATAATGGGCTCACTTTTGTTAGAAATTTTTTAATTAGTTGTGCACCGTAATCAAAATCTCATCCCTTCAGTAATATGTTAATTGATCGTGATGTTGTGCCCCACTTCTAATCATCACTCTGAAGATTACGTAATAATTTTTGTCTTGTGGTTTTAATCATAACTATGAAAATCCTAACACTATGTTCATAAAATGCTTTGGATGAAGTCTCATTTAGGTTTTCTGGCAATTTATAGCTTAATTTTATTCAAAATATATCTCCATAAGACCTTAATGAAACAAATAACGATGACAAATAGTAGAAGCAATAATATTTAATCACAAGGCTCATACATATATCATAATATTCATACACACCATATCTATATTGTCTAAATTATTCATACCGTTGATCACTAAATTTATTGAATTATAGATATGTTGACAATAACACTGCCGTTGCCAGTCCCAAGCCCGGATGCAAAAATTGGAGGGTTGTGTAGGTAGTCGACAACCAACGTAAAACTTGTTGAAAAAAAATCATGACATGATAAGTCCTTTTGATCATTGTGTAAGTGTTAGGGCGTCCCCTGGAAGCGACGCGTTGTATAGTCTGAATAGAGTGAAACGTGTGCAAGGGCCGCTACACCGGCGTCCGGGTGTAGTGTTAAATAAACAAGAGTTCCCACATTACGGACGAATGCGGGTAAAGAAGTTAGTCCATGAAACTAATATTAGGATAGGATCTTGGAATATAGGTACTCTCAATGGTAAACTAATGGAATTAGTTGATATTATGATTCATAGGAAAATTAATATCTTATGTATTCAAGAAACTAAGTAGGTTGGAGAAAAAACTAAGGAGATTGATAATTTAGGTTTTAAACTTTGGTATTCTGGTAAGAGTCGCACTAGAAATGGTGGTGTAATTATAGATAAGAGTTTGAAAGATAATGTTGTAAAAATTAATAGAGTTGGAGATAGAATTATAGCCCTTAAGATTATCATT